AGGTCCTAACGAAGGAAGTTAGGCGATTTAGAAAATCAGGCAGTTTTGTTTTTAAGTCCTGATGACGGAGGTCAGGCACAAGGTCTGGCAGAGGAAGCCTATCTCGAGTTTTTCCAAGCCCTGAAGCATAAGTCCTGACAGGGGAAGGTCAGGCAAACTGAAAATCAGGCAATACTTTTGTTTTAAGTCCTGACAAGAGAGGTTAGGCAAACTCACAAGTCCTGAGAAGGATTCAGGAAAGTTTAAAAACCCTGCAGGCAAACAAAGTCCTGATGAAGGAAGTCAGGCATACAGCCTCAGAGGCCAGGTTCTCGAGGTTTTGTTGGTTGAGTCTTGGCAAAGGAGGCCGAGATCTCTCTAAGTCTTGATGAAGGAAGTCAGGCATACCTCAGAGGCCAGGGTCTTGAGGATTTTTTTTGTTTTGTTTGTTTGTTGAGTCTTGGCAAGAGAGGCCAAGGTCTCAACAAAGTCCTGACGAAAAGGGTCAGAGAAATTGGAGTTTCGGTGGAGGAGGTCGGGACTTCTTAAATAAGATATATTTCCTTTAGAGTAAAGGCATTTTTGTGATTTTTTTGAGGCCAAAAAAATTGGGAGGGTGGCATAGTAAGAAAAGTGGCCAGAGACTGAGGAATATACCTCCCCACAGTCCCCTAGGGGAACTACTAGAGAAATGGGACTCTATAGAAGCCACAGAAGGATTAGATAAAGTTAAGATGATTCACTACTGTTCAGAAGCGTGGCCAGAATTAGAGGTGCAAGGAGGATGGCCGTGGTGTGGGACAAAAGATAAGTGGATGTGTCAACAGCTGAGTAGCTATCTGACAGCTCAAGAAGATACTGATCCCGAGCAATTATTATATGTAGCTTGTTGGTTGAATGCTATAAAGAATGAAGGAGTGCAAATTTGTAAACTGCAGAGCAAGAAAGAGGGGAATGAAAGAGTGAATCCTGAAGTTAAAGAGATTGCCAAAAGGTGGGACCCCCTAGACTACTTGAACTAATACAAAATTGGCATTCGAGGGCGCACAAGAGAAGGATGAAACTCCTGCTGCTTGGCTTAATTGCCTAAAGCGGAACTTTCAATTGTATTCTAGAATAGACCCAGACACCAAAGAGGGTGAAGTGCTATTAAAGGTCCAGTTTGTTACTTTGTTACTTACATAATCTTGGCCTGATATACGGAGAAAACTGGAAAAGATTGAAGATTGGCAAGAAAAAGACATTAATGAGTTATTGAGGGAAGCATTGAAGGTATATTTAAGGAGGGAAGAAGAGTGAGCAAAAGCCAAGGCTAGGATCATGGTTGCTATAGCCAGAGAAAGTGTGGGGGCAAGCAACTCTTTCCCACAGTCTAAGGTAACAAAAGAGTGGGGGAGTCCACCACCAGGAGCAGGCAAGGATAGGCCAGTACTGTCAGGGACAGGAGGCATGGAGAGGCCTCGAGTTCCTTTGAGTGAAAGGTGCTGCTATTACTGGGGAGAAACTGGACGCCCCCCCAGACTGTTCAGCCTAAAGTTGTGAAACCTTTGCTAGCTGATCAAGGCAGCCAAAGGAAGCAGCTTTCAAACCAGGGGATCTGGTAAAAGTTTTTAAAGCAGAAACCACACCTGAGGAGGGGGAAAGAAGAGAAGAACCCATATTTTGTGAAAAAGAATTAAAGGCTATAAAAGATTTAAAGTTAAATCAAGGGCAATGAGGGGAGTGGTTAACATCAGACAGACAGGTGTTTTTAAATAAAGCACTTTCTCGACAGTGCTAACAGAACTACATAAATTAACCCACTGGGGAGTCCAAAGACTATGTGATTATTTCCTAAGAAATAACCTGTGCATAAGTGTATATGACCTAGCAAAAGCGATTACAAAAGTGTGTTTAATTTTCCAAAAAGTGAACCAGACGGGAATGGTGAATACCATAGACTCAGACCTAGGTCCACCCTTTGTAGTCCAAATATTGCAAAATAGAATTGAAGCTTTAAGAATAAAATGGTGATTACATACTCCGTGGCACCCCCAGAGTTCCAGGAGGGTGGAACGGATGAACAAAACTCTCAAAAATGTATGGACTAAATTGATCGAAGAAACAAAAATTAATTGGCTAAAGTGTTTGCCCCTAGCGCTCTTGCGCATCAGAACAAGACCCCGGTCTGATAAAGGGATTTCACCCTATGAAATGATATTTGGACTGCCATTCTTGTTAACACCCTATAGCACAGGAGACTATCTGGAAGGAGAAGAAGCTACCAGAAAATATTTAGAAGTCATTGGAAGAACCCTGGAAGGACTTAAAAAAAAAAAAAAAGGAAAAAAAAAAAAGAGGAAACCCCCCCCAAACCCCCCCCCCCCCCCCCTTCCCCTGTGCAATGAGTACTACCAACCTCTCTATGAGAAAGAAGTAAGTTCCTTGCTGAGAGTCCACAACAATTGTGTTAACCTCTCCCAATGAGCCTTTATCAAGAGAATGAGAAAATATATTGGATGGCCCGGAACTGCCACCTTTAGGCAGCCACTCCTGGGAGAGCACCCTGTAGGAGAAGCCTGGTGGTGCTTTGAACGTGATGCTACTGAAGCAAACCTGGTAAATCTGGTAAAAGGAAAAGGTATTTCTAAATATTGGGAGGGCATGACAAAAACCAATATATTTCGGGAAACCCTTAAACACCTGTTTTGGGTCAATGGTACCACAGCATCCACTGAATTACCAAGAGACTGGTCTAGTGGTGGCATCATTAGAATTATAAAACAAACTGTCTTTATATTACCCAAAGAATCTGGATCAAGTTTAAGAGTTCCTATATATGATGATTTAAGAAAAACAAAACTGAAGAAGCGATGTTTGTTAAACAAAATTTTGAAACTACAATCAGAATTAGAAGTAACATCTAATCAGACTGCATTAGCTCTTAATCATATTAATGACCAACTCAACCAAACCAAAACAGTAATTTATCAAATCAAATTAATTGTAGCAGTCATTAGAAACACCTTAAATGAAATAAGAAAACTAGCATATGTAAGAAATCAAAGGACTCCTACACTTGATTCTAGTTGGTGGGATAAACTATGGAATTTCAAAAGAGGCTGGAAAACTATAACCTTCTCCAATGTGTGTACACTTGTTAGTTTGTTCTTCTTATAGTGACATCTGCTGTACAGAATAACCTAAGGATCTCTAAAGAGATTAACCTGAAAAAACCAAAAAAAGTAATGAAGTTGGGTAAATATGATCACCAGAGTGCTCAAGAAATTTATAATCAGTACAAAAAATCTAGGAAATTCTATGTTAATGAGCCAAAAAAAAGTTGTAAGTTGATGCAAGCTTAAGCTTAAGCCTGATCAAAGAAAAAGAGGGGGACTGTTATGAATAAAAAGTTATCTATTTTTTTTAAGGTTGCAGAGTAAAACAAGTTAGTCCAGTGCTGTTAAGTTAGCTTCATTGTTAAGAGTTCTTCTTCAATTACCTGTTAATGGTTGCTGATTAACCATTGTCCCCCTTGGATGCTTGCCAGGGGTGACACCAGACCCGCTCAGGTAGCAGGGGCAGAGTGACCTCAGAGCTGGTATGCAGATGAGAATACATTTCACCAGGTTTTGTAACGTTCCAGGAAAAAAACCCTAAAAACAACGAGCCAACGTGGAATTAAGAGACCTAAGTGATGTCTAAGGATGAGGAACTTAATCCAGTATCTGCTAAGATCCTTTTACTTCTCACCCTAACCTGAAAAGGTCTTAACTAGAAAGAGGACCTGGAATGTTAGACAGAACTGAGTGATCTAAGTGATGTCTAAGGATGGGAGCGTAGTCAGTGCCTGCTTGGATCCTTTTTGCTCCTCACCCTAACCTAAAAAGATGTTGACTAGAGAGACGACCCGGGGTGTTGGACCGAAAAGGGGAATCTCCTAATCTCCCGTGAGGGCGGAATCCCCAGCTCTGTCTGCAGACCAGCGGACAAAGCTGCATCATCCTCCTTCTCCGTGCCACTCCTGGGAGCACCGGCGGCGTGGGCACGACCCGTTGATTTCTCCCCACCTGAGCTGATTCTTTTTAATAAAGGCATTAAAAAGGAGAAAGATCTCCTGCCCATTTATTTCAAGGACAACTTCTGCCTCTCCACAGCTGCCATCAGCATGATATCAGCACTGTTGCCCTCTACCTGAGCAGAAAAATAATGAAGAATTTTCCTAAACAAAGGATCCCTTGCAAAGGTGTGCAAGACCATTCTGATGATTCATTTGGTCTCCAGGCCTCTAAATATTCTGGGAGCTGTCCATGCCAGGGCTGCAGGAAGGACACTGACCTCCTGCCATAGTTACAGGAACTGCTGAGTGACTGCTGAAGTAGAATTCCCCCAACATCTTCAGC